GTTTGCCATATTTATTCAACATCATTAGGAATATTAAGTTGGTCGAGCGGTTTAAATTTAATAATTTCATACCTTTAAGTTCTGAAATTTGATTTTTATTATTGCCAAGATTTGTGAGTCTAGAGTTATATCTTGCTAAAATCATATATATAGCCTCCATATATATATATATATATAATATTTCATTTTTAAAAATAATAAGATGACATGGGGGGATCAATTTGAGAATATTTGATATTCATCCTTGATTACGTGTTCAAGATAAGAAGTAACATATAGTAAAACTTTGAGTCGTCGGACCAATATATATTGTCATCGTGCATGAAGCTACAACCCTACGACGTGGATGAGACTAAGCTTGAAGAAACGAATATTACAACATTTAATATAATACTACTTTGCTGTTTCGAGTTTACTGAGGTCTCCCACTTGCATAAGTGTTGGAAATAACTCATACAATTTTTATAATGCTCACTTCTTTCATTAACATTCTTCATGAACAGTATAATATTACCTACTATACTAAATAAAAATTATAATGATAATAAGTCAAGCACATGTTAATAATATTTTATATCTCACTATTTCAATAAGTATTTACACTTTCAAGAAATAGAAATTCTGATCATATGGAGAAATAAATTAATTTGCAGCAAAATACTACATCTGTACTAAAAGAATAATTCATATTGAGTTTTGATATTAATTTATACTGTTTATAGTGAGTGAAGTCGTGATCTGATTACGTTGTCGTAAGAATTATTTATTCTCGTAATATAATTAGTTTTAAAACAAAAAGACTCCTTTATGGGCACAAAAAATAGTAATAAAAATTTCATTTTATTCCAATACAAGATTTTACTTTATTTTCAAAAAAAAAAAAGATTTTACTTGAAATTAAAATTACAATCATTGTTCCTCCAAAAAAAGATTAAGAAAAAATAAAATTGAACTGATTAAATTCCATGTCCACATCACTGAAGCCTGCATATATACCAAAAGAAGAATGTTTTCTTCTACCTAATTAATCAATCTAACACGTACATTATCATTAAAAAAATGGCATTGATGCATGATCACTCCACTGAAATTGTCACATTAGGAGAGGGTCCCAAAGTCTCGATAACAACTAACATCCGTTTTCCTCATTAAGGGTTCATATAGATGTCAAGTGATTTTCGCAGCACTAAACTTTGTCTTTGTACCAAACTAATGATTGAGGTTTATCACAAATATAACGATAATGTAGTTTTTCAATTTAAGAAACAGATAATTTCCGACGGCATTTTTGTTTTTTACGTCGTTGAAAAATGATTGGTGCTCCTCAACCCGAAACAGTAAGGGAGATCCAATGAAATTGGGCCGGCCCATGTAAGTACGAGATGAATATGCAAGTCAAAGTTACTGTTCTGCCCCTCGGTTTTGACGGTGTTGCTTCCTACAAATTTGAAATATATTTGTACTTTGTAGAGATTCAACCAAGGTCCGCCAGTAGTTTAAAACGCATCCATTTTTAACCAAAAAGTAGAGATTTAAAATTCGACGTAGATATAAATAAGAGTATTAAACTAATCCCTTGACAAATGTCCCCGCCTATTAAAGTGCTTGAAACACTTTGCGAGTAATTAGTTATTATTATTATTGATGTTGGACACAACCTACACATGAGTGAAAAACAGCCTTGAAATTTTTTGTTTGTTTTCAAGCGCAATTAGCAGTATTTGAACTTTCTTTTTCGCATTATTTTTTGGCGTTTCTTATCAAGTTTTTTACTCATGTTGTGCTGTAAGCCTGTAAGAATATCGAAAGAGCCAAATGCATCGACGCACGAGTTAAAAATTGTAAGGGGAGTAATCGAATAATGTAAATAAGTCAAGGGTTATGGTATCTAAAAATGTACTCCCTCCGTTTCAAAATGTAAGTAAGTTTAGACTCTACACGTAAACTAAGGAAACAGTCATTTAATAATTAATTTGTGTGTTAAATATCTATTTTACTAATCGTTAATCATTTTGGGGGTAAAATTGAGAAATTAATCTTTAATTTGTCTACAAATCCTAAAACGACCTACATTTTAAAATATTTCTCCAAACCTAAAATAATTTACATTTTCAAATGGGAGACACGGTTTTTATCCTAATAATTGTTTTAGAACTTTGGAAAATCAAAACGGGCAGCATGATTTTGTTTAAAAACAGGGAAACAAAATTGCTCGTGGTTTCACGGGCATTAGCTAAAAGCCTTGACTACAGTGCGTTATTATTGATTTACGGATACCCAAAACCCTTCTTGGTACATGTTCTTAACTTTAAACATGACACTAATTATTAGTACTGTTGTAATTATTTAATGACACCACCTAATTATAGCAAATGTGACATTACATCCTTACATGAAAATCATATTCCCAATCTCAAGATATTTTTTCATTCTTTTTTACCAAACAGCCTAACGCGTGACTTAATTTTTTGTACTCCCTCTGTCTCAAAATTATTGTCCAGTTTGAAATTTTATTTTTAGTATAAATTTGAACTAGAAATGAAAACTCAAACTGGACAATAATTATGGGACGGAGGGAGTACTTATTCTGCTAAAAGAGAGATGTCAGTGTAATCTTTCTTTTGTTTTTTCTCTTTTAATTTGGGCCGATATCTTGTTTCGACTTTCTATATTTCTACCACTTTACTTTTACTAGTTATAACAAATAAATTCGGGCTCACGAGGGCATTTGCGCAATACGAATTGTTCAGATAACAGTAATTCCTCCTTAACGGCTCTTAAAATATACGGATCATAACAAATTATGATTCATATAATCATAGTAGACCCAATATTTATTATTCTTTCTATTTCATTTTAATAAGGAGTGAAGCAATAATTCAGAAATTAATTCGCGGATCCTAACAAAATGTTTGGACAGGTGTTGTAAGGTGGAGGGGCAGAACTGCAGGGGAATTTTAGGTCCAGACATGAAATGCCACATTTACAATGGGAGCAGGAGGAAAAAAGAAAAGGAAAAAAAAAAAACCGGGTAAATGAGAGGTGGTTGAGGTCTGAAATAATGTTACTGGTTCAGTCTTTACTCATTTACCACCAATACTCGCAAACTGGATTTTAATTCCCACAACCTGCAGTTTTTATAGTATTGGTGAACATCGGCCAGCAGCATGGAAGTACCCACACTCCCAATAACCCCTTCCCTCCCTTTTTTTTTATTTGGCGCCAAATTCTATGTTGCCTGCCACGTTTATTTCAGCTGTGACCTGTACTATCTTTTTAAAAAACACCATATTTGTGTTCCCATAATAATGTAATAATTTATTCTCCCTCCACTCTTTAATATAAGACATTTTGATTTTTCTTAGATTTAATCTAGTACGTATTTATAATTAACAAAAAACTTGAAAAACATTTCATAACAATCAAGAAAATATAACAAATGTGAAAATATATTTTTAAGAATTTTTCGACAATTAAAAATGCTTATTAGATAAAACATATGACGAAATCAAAATACCTTATATTAAAGACCGGAAGGAGTACTTCTATAAGTAAAATCGGATGAGTATTCATTGTTACGCGGTATTTCCATTTTAATTTTGAACAAATTTAGATTAGTTTTTTCAACATCATACTTAATTATTTATAATCTCCACGGTTTAGGCTGCGTGTGCTCTTTTCTGTGTAGTCGTTTTATGATTTGATTCAATGTTTTTGAGGCATTAAAAGATGGTAATCACAGGGACAAAGTAGCCACGAAAGGCTTAAAGTTACTGTTATAAAGCAATACACTTTGGAGAAATCTCATTTTGATGCAGTATATCTAATTAATTCTGAAACCGTTTGAACTCCATACGTGCAAATATATTCCGTTCCGTACAAAGTTGGTTTGTTTTTCAGTTTCAATTGACCATGTATTCGGATTTATTGATGTGACGAGGCATTTTAAGTATTGAAACTCCAGAGCAAAAATTGCAAGAAAGTAGTAATATAACTAGAAACAAAATACCCACAGAGCATTTGGTCGGAAGGAATAATATTAGGACCTTATAAGTATCAGTTTAACAATGATCAAAACTCGGGCCGAGTGACTAGTGATCTAAATTACTAATTTGTGGGCAAATGTTTATCTTCTATAAACAAGATATACTTGTTCAAATTCAGATTATTCAAAATAATGATTTTAAATGGGGTATAATATCCCAAAAACTAATCAAAAAGTGGCATTAAAAAAAAAAGAAAATCAAAAAGAGATTTATTCCACCTTTTCCAAGATGTGAGATCGAGTAGGTGAAGAATCTTACCATTATCATAGGGAGGGAACAAAGTCACAAAAAAGAATTACTACTACTTCATAAAGAAACTGTAAATACCAAAAAAATAATAAAAAATAAAAATCTAGCACTTATAACGGTCCTCCACGAATCGGGAGCTGACAAAGCTCTCTTCAGAACAAATCACTACGGAACATGTTAACTGCACAATAATTACCTTTCTAATTAAACCTCCCACAATATTTTGAATCCTTAATTAATACTAATTTATTGCTACCATTTACCCCTGCGATAAATAAAATCCGAGACGGAAGAAAAAGAAGGAAAACACAGAGAAATTTCAGTCAAAGATTGACTGACGTAGTTACAACTAACTTTACTGAGTTACTACTGGTACAGTGAGAGACTGTACTGGTTTCACTGATTCACTCCCCTCACTTTACTCAGTCATTTGACCGACTAATTTAACGGAGCCAGCCGCCCTCTCCGGCTGTCACGTGACCTGAATCACATCTTCCAAGACCCGGTTAAAAATCAAAAAAAAGAAAAGTAAAATCTACCCCTCTCCCCCTCCATTTCGCTGACGCAGCAACTCCCCCCTCCACCCACCATCTCAGCCGTTTAACTCCCGGCCCCAGGCTTCCACGTGTCGTGATCACAGCCGCTTTTTCCTCAAGATGCGGCGGCTCGTCGATAAATCCTCTCGCCGGAATTTCCACCCCCCTCAAGTACCTCCACAGTAACCATACTGTAGTAACCAGTCTACGATTAGTAGACCTTAATTAACCAGGTTTAATGAATCAAACGTTAACTCACTAACTAACAAAAATATTACTATAATTTTTAAAAAATTTGAAAGGGGAAAAATTTGGCCTTTTATTTAATTTTTGTATTTTCAACTATCGTATCCTATAAAACAGCATTTTCAGCATTAGTTTCGGTCTACAATGCAACTGAACTGAAACAACAACAGACTCTCACTCCAACTCAAACCAAAACACCCCCATTCTACCCAATCTCCTTGGCCTTCTTCTTCATCATCATCATCATCATCATCATCACCATCTATTGCAGAAGTTTTAAAACTCCAAAAATCTTCATTCCGGGGCTAGCAATTTTGTGCCTTTTTCACTGTTTTTGAATAGCAAAGAAGACAAAGCATCCAGAGTGATACTGCTCAAAACGTTTTTATTCTCCTCCCCCTCCCTTTTTTCCTTCTTTTCTCTTTTCCCTTCTGCCTTTTTTGTGTGGTGTTCTTTTGCCTCTGCCTAACTTACATACAAACATAGGAATTTCTTTTCCTGCGGCTTCTTCTGGGGTCTCGTCTCTCTCGTCGTCTAATTCACTCTTCTGGTGTAATACCAACACACCATATGGGACTCTGTGATTTCTCTTTCTTTAATTCTTTTTTTTCTTTGATGAAATGAGACTCATAGCTGCTCACTAGTTTTTGCCTCCACACAGAAAGCTTTAGAAACTTCGCTTTAACTCACTTTTGTAGCAAACATCTCTTCTTTTTCTGCTACTTTCTTTCTTACCTTTCTCTCCCTTTCTCAAAACCCAGTGTGTGAGATTTTTTTTTCCCCTTCGTCTCTTATATTCTTCTTCCAAAGTGTTAATTTCAAGGTTTATCTTTAACCTGCTATCTTTCTCTTTATTCCAAGAATCTCTTCCCACCCCTTTTTTTTTCTTCTTCCCCATTCACGCTTTTTACCTCCTAATCCCCCTTTTGCTTTCAATGCCAAACTGATTCTCCACCCCTCTGCTCTTCTATATATGAAAATGGAGCAAGATAAACCCAGAGACTTGTTGACTAGTAGTGATAGAAAAGTCAAATACAGTGAGCACAGAAGCCAAACCACAATGGTCAGTAAACGTTCTGCTCCGGCTACTCTCGCCGGCAGGATTAGAAAGTCGCCTGAAATGAATGCCGCCGGCCCAAAAGTCGTACGGATATCAGTCACCGACGCTGACGCAACTGATTCTTCCAGCGATGAGGATGAGGGCCCTTTGTTTGGGAGGTGTCAAAGGCAGAGAGTAAAGAGGTTCATCAACGAAGTAAGAATTGAACAGTTCTGTCCAAGGGATGACGGTAACGTCGCGGTGGTTAATGACGCCGATTCCGGTAACGTTAAAGGCGTTTGGAGGAGTAAGAAACACCCCGGAGGTAACGGAAGTTCCGGTAACAGAAAGAGGAAGAAGATAACGGAAGAGTCGAAGGATGGTGGTAAGTTGAAGACTGGGAATGGGAAGAAGTTTCGGGGGGTACGACAACGGCCTTGGGGCAAATGGGCGGCTGAGATTAGAGATCCATTGAGACGTGTCCGGCTCTGGTTAGGCACGTACGACACAGCCGAGGAGGCAGCAATGGTGTACGATCACGCGGCCATCCAGTTGCGTGGTCCGGACGCGCTGACCAACTTCTCCACTCCTCAGGCGAAGGCTGACTCACCGGCGACAGCAGCAGCGGCTCCGCATCCGCCGGAATCCACCTGTTCCGGCTACAACTCCGGCGACGAGTCACACAACAACCAGCTCTCTCCCAAGTCGGTTCTCCGGTTCGCCTCGGCTTCCAACGACTCCTCCTGCAATGATGCGGAAGCCGAAGACTCGTCTTGTTTACAGAGTCCTCAACACGACGAAGTGGTTAAGGAATCATCCATCCGAGATTTCAGCGGCGATGAGATATCCGTATCCGAGAATTTCTCGGACTATTCGTTGATCCCCAACGACTTGCTATTCGAGTTTGAAAACCCGGTGGTGCCCGATTTCAGCCACCTATTTGAGGAAAATGCCAACATTTTTGGAGTCAATTTGGAAGATTTCTGCGGGAACCATTTGTTTATTGATTCAAGTAACCGGGACTTGGAGTTCGGGTCATCAATGTGGGCCGGTGGAATAACCGATGACTTCTTTCAAGACTTTGGGGACATATTCGGGTCGGATCCTTTGGTGGCACTTTGAAAAGCTGAAAAAAGAAAAGATCAATGATGGAGCTTGTGAATTAGTGGGAGGGAAGATGTTCAGTTGTCTACTCAATTTTGTTTGTGTTTAATTAGCATTTGTTAGTAATGTTTATTTTTTTTCCTCTATTGTTGAGGAGAGAGTATTATTAGTGACTAGCGAGCGAAGTAATTATGTAATGTATTATTAGTAAAGTTAATTATCAGTGTTAGTATTAAAATGATAAGAAAAAAACCTCCGTCTTATTAACCTTGGACGGACGAGAGAAATTCAGATATATGTTAATGTTATCAATGGCACTTCCAATTTTGTGCATTTGTCTCTCTGGTAAATTTTAATCTCACTGAGATATTTTCCATTTTAATGTATATTTGCAGAAGAAGATATGAATGGCACGTGTAAAAACACGTGATTTGGGGGGGCAGTGGAAATTAGTTAGGTAAAAATATGAGATTGAATGAATGAAAAAATGCTGCCAGGCAGTAATAAAGCAAAGTGGGGTGGTGGAGATTGGGGGCATCAAATTTGGCATGAGCCTAAATATTGTAAGTACTTAATGTGCTGGGGTTTCTGTCGGGGGAAATTTCCAGTTGGGTTTTGGTTGGGGAGACTTAGGACTTGGGGAGTTAATTTCGATTCAATTGTTTTGGCTGCTTTTTACCAAACGGAGTAAACCACCACCAGTTTGCAGTAAATGTATACAACTATACTAGAAAACATAGGTTCTGAGTTTTTACAGCTTTGCTACTTTGTTTCATTACTTGTTTCTATTCTACACATTAAAATGTTGTCTTTTCACAAATGAAGACAGACTTGCAAAAAGAACTTGACCCTTTTTTTAACTCTAAAATGTTGCCAGTTTTTGTTAACTCTTTTAAGTAGTAGTAGTAGTAGTAGTAAATCTTTTTACTGGATACCACGTTGTTGGCTGCTGATAACAAGGTACATTTCTTCTAGAAACGCGAAATCTCTGCTTGATTTGAAGATATAGAAAATCCGGAGAAATGACAAGTCAGTATAATACTAATGTTTAAGGTTTTGAAATCATTTGGAGCCAAAATTTATTATCCATGCTTAAAATTCAACATGAACCAAAACATAAATAATTTTTTGTCTCATATTATTAAACAAAGTATACGCTTGTTACGAAGCCGGAAGAAAAATCACATTCGAAAGAAAGAAGTGACCAGAGAGGCAAACTAAAATACACAATAGAAGATTTGCTGATTTCCATACTTCAAACTAATTGGCTTGAGTTCACCTCACTCACGTTACTACTAGCTCTAAATTATAGTCCTAAAATACTAGTTAGTCATGTTTTGGAAGCATTATTTACCGATGAGATTTTCGTTAACGATTTTAATTTTCCCCAAAATAAGTGTAACACTTTAGTTTGGCAAAGTGAATGTGTCACATTCCATCACTATTACCAAAAATTCACTAGATCAATAGAGCTTTGACAACTCAGAATGAAAATCTGGGATTGATTTGATAATCCTTCACTTCAGTTCAGCAGTACAGCCTACAGAGTACTTCGTCCTAGACTAGCAAAACTGATTTTCTAACTCACAAAGTACAGTCACAGTTAAAAAGTAAAAAAAGAATAAAGACACGGTCATAGATAGCAACTATTATGATCTTTCGCGCGCAGGTTTTAAGGCTACATCATTTTACACTTTAATTTTTTTATTTTCTTTCGACAACCTAGGATTAAAAAAAAAATTCCCTTTTTTCTTGGGCATCTTTGCTTCTTCCACATAGGAGATTGCGAATTTAATGGTTTTCAAATTTATTTTTTTTGGGGGAGTATTACATATGGGATTAATTTTGGGAGATGAAGAAGAGAAGCATTCCTTTTTAAGTTTCGAGAAGACTAAAGAAGAATGCAATTATTATGCCTTTGATTGCATAAAAAAAAACACGCACACACACATTTATAATTCTGAAAAAATACGAATACAAATACTACTACTAAAAATAAAAGGAAAAACAACCTTATTATGATGTTCTTGATAACATCATAATTTATTTATTTATTTATTTTTCAATTAACCATCAGGGCATGGCGGAGGGTTGAGGTTCTCTTTCCCCAGGTGATGCTGCTTGGGTCCCGTTTCTCGTGTGTTTGTCTGCTCCCCTGATTTAGTAAATAAAATTCAAACCCATTTTTCTTCATTTATTTTCTGCACATTTCTGAACAAAAATTTTTGCACGAACAAATGCACAAGGAAAGCGAAATATTTCATTTATTTATTGTATTTATGTGTTCTTCTGTAATTTATTACACCACAGAAAAAAAATACTCTACACATATTGAACATTCTGTTAAAAAATGAAAATCGTTCCCCGACGTGTTAGTATTTGCTTGTAACTTGTTTTGTTTATTATGGATGTGCAAGCTACATGCATTTCAAGTTTCATGAGTCATAATAATTTTTTTTTTACCCTAGCACCTATGGGTACTTACTACTTAGGAGATATCTAAATTATTAGCATCGAGATAAAACCCATGAGGAAAATGGATAGAGGACTCCACTCGACCGCACCTTGTGATTGGGATGTCCGATCGTCCATGGTCGGTACGCGCAAGTCACTTGTTTGCTTGATCAAGTTGTTTCGACCAGTTATTTACTTTCTCCGTCAGCTGTCTACTTCTTTGATCTACAATTACTTCCTTTCATATTTGTTGTAAGAATTGAATTATCGACTTTGCGGTTTAAGGTATCCTGCCCTAACCACCAAGGCACGATTTGATTCTTGAGTCATAATTTGATTAGTCCTTGAAGTAGGGGCAACAATTAGTCCATTTTGAATTCACTACCTTCTTTTTGTTTTACTGGTTACATTTCACACTAGTCCAGCAATTAGCAACTGAGATAGTATATGAAAACTGTCATAAAAAATGCAATCGATTCCATTTTGTGGTTCACTCCATCCTAAAAGAACATACTAGTACAATGATTAATCAACCCTTCCCGAGAATAAGTTTCTTTAAAAATTATGCTTAATATTTATCCGCATAACGCTCTATAACGAGTTTAGTATTTTATTGCACGATGAGAATTATGGACATTATATGGTTGAAATGAGTGTATATCGCACGTTCCAACAGTTCATGTATCTAACTAGCTCAATTATGATACCAGTTAAGCGTTCATTAACCTCACTAGCATTATGAGAATCAAACAGTACCACTATAGTAATTTATTGAATGCAAATTGTTCGATTTTTATTTTTTTTTCCGAAAGGACTGTAACAAGAAGGAGTTACTGAATTCTGGTAACTTATAGAAAAAGGCCGCATGACTTACAGATATTCCAGAGAACATATTCATCCATCTTTTATCAAGGGCGCAAGGCTCAAGTTGAGGCAAGATAGAATTTCCAAAAGTGAAGATTTTGCAGCACTTTTTTTGAACAAATATTTCCATTTTAGTGGTCCTATAATGAGCTGGAGGGGATTAGAATTCAGAGATGACATAGATTTGGACATACCACTTGGAGGGGCAATTACATTTTTGCAGATTCACAAACACCCAAGAAAGCAATGTAAAAGGGCAATTTTCCTTCTTTTCTTTTTTTTTTTTTTAATTTTTCATTTGAAAAAAGAAAAAACAAACTAAGCTCATACTACCATATTTACTTATGACTCATGAAAAAATCCAAAAATTTCTATTTGCATTATTATCATAAGAACCCAAGAATTTTATTAAATGCATTTTGGCATTTATTCCTCAGTATCCCATGTAATGTTTTAAACAGAGATACAGGCTTTCTCACCAGTGTCCAGAGTCAGTTACACACACAAACACGTACCCCTGATTATTACACCAGCCTTTTTTCAGTCTGGGAATTTATTAGACCTTACCAAAATGTCACTTTCAATTTTTGTTTCTATGTTTTTAGTTCCTTTTTTTTTAAAAAAAAAAAATCACTAGTCATTGTAATGTGATTACTGCCTGATTTGCTGTGGGATGATCCATCAGATCAATAATTAATTCGAAGGTGCGACATGTGAGTGATCTTAATTATTGGTAATATTTACCTGGTTACTCTGAACCCTGCCAAAGATTTTCATTTTGGCGTGTTTTGATTAAAACATGCAAAATGATGATTTTGATTACCGTGTGTGGTAATTTTGTTAGTAAGTGTTGGGGACTTGGAAGGGAAAAATTGCTGCAATTGGTCCCCAAACATGTTCGCAGAATCACATCCCGGGTCCATATTTAGATTGTTTGATTTTCTTCGAATTCCTCTTTGCCCGTTTCAATACAATAAACGGCACAAATTATTTTGAGATGTATGCACGACATATTATTTCGGCTGTAGTAAGACAAAGTTCAGAACTTAATTATTGACTTAGATTTTGTATGCTTAAACATTGTAATTAGAAGAAACCAACAGGCAATATGAGTTGCCCCTGTTTTACTCTTCATTATGTTTTCGTCGAACCAAATGCATACTGCATGATCAATTGAATACATTCAAGATTTACCTTGAGCTGAATTTAATCAAAATCATTTTTGTGAACGCATTCATCGGATTAAACTGTATTATGACTGAACTGTTGTTTAATGACCGTCGTCAAAATCAAGAGTACAAAATGTACTAACAAGACACATTCTGATCGTACCAAATCTCTTATAATATCGTATACCCCTTCCATCCCTAAATAATTATTCGATTTAACTTTTATTTCTAATATAAATAAATTATGAAAATCTATGTTAAAACGGATGAAAAATAGAACTCTCTCTGTTCCAAAATTATTGTTAAGTTTGATATTTCACTTTTAGTACAATTTGAACTAAAAAAATGAAAATTTAAAGCGGAGAATAATTTCAGGACGGATGGAATATTTGTTAGATAAAGGCATATATGCCGTCTCTCTTATTAATCGTCTCATGAACCCTAACAACCGGAAATTTATGCTCTTATCAAAACATATATTGGCAATTTAAGAATATCAAAGGGAAGGAAGTAGCGGTCATTAATACTACTCCCTCTATTTACAAATAAATGTCGTTGGAGGAAAAACTAAATATTTCAAAATAGATGTCGTTCTCACAAATCGAGTCATATTTTGTCAATTTTTTTCAATACTACTTTTACATTAGAAATTATAGTGATATTTAATGTAGAATTATATTAGAACCAAATGTTATTGAGACTACAATTATATTAAGAGTAAATTGAGATATTATAATATTTTAACAAGATAATTATTTTTTCATTAAATTTTGCGACTTGTGAATGGAGGGAGTATAATAGAAACAATTTGTTAACCAAAATCCCACTTCGTGAAGCTAGT